CTTACTTTTCATTCTTCATTGGCTTAGAATTTTGCACAGCGAGAGTGTTAAGTTTTAGGAAACTAAATAAGTTGCACCTAAAAAAAAAAACTCGTATAAAGATGCATCTCAGATGAGATCTCATAAACATGTTTAACCCCGCCGCATTTTTGCGCCTGTCCCAAGTCAGGAGCCTCTAGCCTTTGTTAGTCTTGTATTATTTTTAATTTTAGTTTCTTGTGTACAATTTGGAGTTTAGTATGGCGTTCATTATCACTGAACTAGTATATATATTTGTTAAGGGGCCAGCTGAAGGACGCCTCCGGGTGCGGGAATTTCTCGCTGCATTGAGGACCTGTTGGTGACCTTCTGCTGTTGTCTGTTCTATGGTCGGGTTGTTGTCTCTTTGACACATTCCCCATTTCCATTCTCAATTTTATCTAATGAGTAGAACAGCCTCCTAAGTAGCTCATCCCAAAATCCATACTCTTTTGGTTGCTGTTTCTTCAGTTAATTTTGCATTTGAGTACTTTTGACAAACAATGAGGTTAATTTGTATTGGAATGCATCACTATAATATTGAATGGATCAAACTTAACCATTTTCTTTTTACATTTGACTTTGTTTTCCCTTCATAAAAGTTACAATAACTATTTAAAGTTGATAGACTACCTGAGGTAACAATTCAGTTGGTGAACTGTGGTAAGCAGCTCAGTTTTTACCAGTTTCACCCAAAATATATATTATAATTATATCAATACCATTGGAATAGTCTCGTAATGAAGACTGTTTATCATACAGAAGATGTTTTAGCCGATTTATAGTATACAAATAACGGAACTTAAAAAGCAGAAAAAATGAAATGTCTGTGTCCTTGATTTTTTATAGTATATAAATAACGTAACTTAAAAAGCAGAAAAAAATGAAATGGCTGTGTCCTTGATTTTTTATAGATATAATTAATTGAAAATTTGGAGAAAAAAAACGATTCCTTCGTGATTTTTCAAACAGTTAACACTGGCTCCTATTTTCTTTCAAAAACTATGAAAATATAAAGTATTTTTTAAGGTTTTTAAAAGTGGCACTTTATACTATAAGTAATAAAATTGTGAAAAAAGGGGCTAGCGGGCAAACTACTTATTGGCACTATACATGGATAAAACTAGAGGATTCCGAATATCTTACAAAAAAATTAAAGACAAGAGTAACGAACATCCTTAATGCACTGAGTTGGAGTATACAGAAAAGTTTGAAAGATTAGGTTGGAATCTATTTTTGATATATATTAAAGAAAGTCTTAATATTTCTTGTTGATATATATTTTATAATTTTTAAATGTGAATTTTATACACACGCTGGCACCGAATTCAAATAATACGATAGCAGATACTGACATAAATATGTATGATACTTTTTCAATAAATAACAGGTTGATAAAGGAAATGGTTTTTATCGCTAATAAAGATAACCATCGTCATGATAATAACAATTTTCAATATGATATTTTACTGTTTACAACAATTAAATTATATAAATTTGGACAAAAAGGTATGATACATATTTTTGTCGAGCCTGCAACAAATGTGGAAGCGAGATATAGCGATCCTACACTCCCGTGATCTCTCGTCGTCGGCGTCGTCAACATTTAGGTTCAGTCTGTGGTTAAAGTTTTTTTTAATACATCAGTTCCTTTTTCAAACCTTCATGGAATTTTATTAAACTCGAACAGAAGCTATTTTATGATTAAAAGACAGCAAACATTTGAAAATATATTTTTTGATTTTTCCGTAATTATACTTTATAAAGGACATACATTTTTTTCAGTTAACATTTAAGGGTTAAAGTTTTTTTTTTAGACAACACAATCTTTATTAAACCATCATAGAATATTATGAAACTTTGGCAGAAGCCTTTTTATGCTTATGAGATAATGTCTGGTTCCAAATTTTGAAAACATATTTTTAATTTCTCGTTTTTTTTTTGCAGTTAACATTTACATGCAGTCTCAGATCACTTTTTTTAGACATCAATAAGTTTGTTAAACTCTCCATGATGGAATATTTTATGAAACTTGGAAATTTAGTTGTTTCAAGTTGAAGAAATAGTATCTGAAGAAAAGTGTTTTGAGTTATATTATTTTCCCTGTATTTTACTGATAAATGGACCTTCTGACGATCAACACTAAACTACACCAGCAATTGCAGGCGAGACGTCTCGCGTGGTTCTGTCAAACCCTTTGCGAATTTTTAAAAGACCTTATTATACAAAATTAAACTCTGATCAAATAGGGTGTCACCATTCATTGTCAAAACTGAGACTAAGACATATCTATTGGTTCCAGTTGTTACTTCGAATTTTATAATATTTTAAAAACTATTAAACTGTGATTTTTATGATGATCATTTTGTTAAACAATAGTTTGCGGTAAATCTAAAGACAAAAATACTTTGACTATTTTATCTAATTCGGTTGAATTCCCCACTTTCGTTCATTGCTGTATACGAAAACCAGAGAGAGTACATCAAATAAATAAAAGCTTTATATAATTTATGAAAATATTCATTCTAGAAATTGTGTATGTCGCAGATGGTAATGCATTGTAACACATTAGTATATATATATTCGCAAAGCTCCATGTTTTGACTTATATTTTACCTTATAATACAAGAAGAAATTATTGATTAATTGAGGCAAGTTTGTCCGTATGTTATCAAGGAACGACATCCATACCTTTTATTGTCCTCACCATATTATCTGAAGTTCCGCATTATGTACGGTGTGTATATAGTGCGGAACTAATAATACTATAAGTTATCTACGTTCATATCCGTAGATATGGATATTTTAACACCCTGAAGTATCCAAGTACACCCTGAGGCGCAGCCGAAGGGTGTACAGGGTACTGAAGGGTGTTAAAATATCCATATCTACGGATATGAACGTAGATAACAAATTTATCCCCAGTCTTAGTCTAAATCTGGCGATTTTTAGAGAAATTCGACCACAAAGTTAAACGTGAAAGCAACGTTTTTTTCATTTTTTAAATATCTATTATTGAAATTTGGGAATTTGACATTTTTTTAACGGGGTGTAGGGTACTACCTTTGGTAGTACCCTACAGGTAGACAAATATAAGACGTTTTTAAACTAGAGACAGAAAACTGAAATGGGTCGAATTTGGCGCGCAATGTTGTGAGAGTTACATCATAAACGATGTGACGTCAACGTGGGTCATTTGCATAGATAGGTCAGTAGTACCATTCATTGACAATGTGGCTGCATAGTGATGCATTTACTAAAATGAGTGCAAATAATCGATATAATAAGATAAAATCGTTAGTGGATTAGATATTTAATTATACAGACATCATGGAAAATCTACAGAATTCGATATTTCATAAGGAACAACCATGGAACTAAGGAAAACGCGCGTGAAATTCCCCGATGTAATGGGTAGCAACGTCCGGGGATATGGGTTAGCAACACCCAGGGGCTATGGGTTTTGTAACGACGTGCGTTAACCAATCAAACTCCTAGAAATATACTAAGCCGGGGATAAAAACCTTTACGTCAGTACTTGAGATCGCATTACGTCTTATGTGTTGCAATATTGTTAGATTTTGTATAGTATATGATATCGTTCAGGTAACAACGTTCGGTGAGTGCACTACCCGTTTTTGTCGTTATCATTGCACTGCCTATAATCCGCTGGAATGTAAGGGGCAATCAATCATATTGTCCTTCTAATCTGTTCTCCAGAATTATAAAGAAAAGGATCAATAACCACACTGAATAGAAGTGATGTTTTACGATTCGACTACGTATAAAATCAATTAGGGAAGCGGATTGAAGGCGATATGTTACACACGATAAAATGAAATGTATTCCTTTATTGAAATACATCTTCACCAGATGCGCATACAGATGCCATTTCTATTTCCTTTGATTACATCACTGAAAATGATAATGTACAGCAGAAGTGCTATGTATAATTCACCAATTACCGACACTATCTTATTTTACAAAGAAAGAACACTTAGTACAGTGTGTTATCTTTTATTTTGTACACGAAGCTACACTTTGACTGTTATTGGATAAAAGAAGATGTAAATAATGATTATTGTGATTTATATTGACATAAAATATATACAGTTTATTGACTGTGAAACTAGGAAATAAATATAAATTGATTGACTGAAACAGCTAACAGATAAAACAATAAATGCATAATGGTGCAAAGCACTGGAAATAGTAATTAAGATAGGGAAACTTTAAATTAAAATTAATTTTATGTATAATTAATAGTCGTTCACATATTTTCTGAAATTACTTTTCTTATTTATTCCCGTTACGGAAAATAGGGATACAAAAACATATTACATGAAAAAGAACAGTCATTAACAAAATAGTAAATTGATAACCGACGAGGAAAAGGAAAAAAAGGTATGACCCAAAACAAAATAGACATTATTCATCTCATAGTTTCGTTTGTGAAATGTGTATTGATCAATTAACTGATTTGTTATTTATTCAATTTAGTTGAATTGTTTATTCTCATATTCTTTAACTTGAACAAGTCAGTAGATCTAAGGCCCTTATTAGACGTACTACATGTATTTAGTCGTTGGTTGTACGAGAGTCATACTAGATTTTACTCTCCACACATTTCTGAATTGATATTTTTTGTGTGTTTAATTTACTCGACTACTGTCTTGCAAAAATACTTTTTATAGCTGATCGTGGTTTAAGATATATTATCTTTACTTTACAATATCATTTCTATCTTTTAGGTTTGTAATGTGACCTATAATGACTAACCTTGACCTTTAAACAATTGTTAACCAAGTTACGTAATGTTGATATGAAATATTATTGTACCGCCCACATTTTATTACACGCTGTCAGTTCTTGACACCTTTGGTGGTCATTAATAACATTTTACTCGTTAAACATGTTACCTTCATTTAAAAATATTATTACACACATGCATTACACGAATTAAAATGTATCATATATTTCAGCTTGCGCAATGGCACATCGACCAAAGAGGACAAGTCTTCGACATCTGCGAGAGCATTTGGTGTGCGTGCTGTGTGGAGGCTATCTGATTGATGCCACTACGATCGTAGAATGTCTACATTCATGTAAGTTTATCTGTTTTGACATTTTTCCAATATTGTTGGCGCAGACGATAACGGTACGTAGCAATGCCATAAAGGCTTTCAACTGTTATATGGTTAAGATTATCGTGATATTGGAATTCTATAGCAGATTGTAAATTAAATTATCGAATAAAAGCTATTTGTATTGACGATGATTATGATTTTCAAGGGATTATTATAGCTGTTAATAACTATAGATAACATTAGGAAGTACTGTCCTGATATATAGAATAATTATTACCTATATTGATATTCAAAAAATGGATATTGCCTTGCCACTCAGTTCATCCATAGTGAACATAGGAACATCATAACTTATTTTTATTCAATATTTATTGCGCTGAACATTTCTATTAGTTTTAATGACAATTTCATTGTTTTCTTAAATTTGTGTACAAATTAACTGCAAATAGGAAAAACACTAATTACACGGGCGTAGGAAATGAACTTAGTTTGCAAAGTTTTACGTGTCTTCTTCCATGGATATGATTTCAAAAATGACAATATAAAAATATGCCCCTGTTTTAATGGACTATGGCACATGAAGAAATCACAAGACCAATAGGCGTAAATATTGCTAAATATAGAAAAAGTAGTTCGAAATTACTAAGGTAATTAGGAAGTGATATCAAGTAAATATTAACGATAAATAATCTAAAATCTCAAATTTAGAATATTTGCATTAATTCATATCCGCATTCCGATAAAGTAAGAATAATATGTGGAAAACAATTAGTCTCACGAAACCCATGTAAAAATAAGGACAGTTCAACTCATAAAAAGATATAAAGTGAATCCACGAATAGAAAATAAAATTCACCATTAGACAAACATGAAACTTTTATTGAAGATTTAAACTACGGTCGGCTTTATGGTATGGTCTTCACCTTAATTTATAATTCATGTGTAGTCACGTTCTAGAAAACACGCATTAGTTTGAAACATGCAATTTTCCATTTAACAACCCTCTAAAATACACAAACATGCATCACTATTAGCATATGTAGTTGGTATGAAGTTCTAAGTGACTTTATAAATTGCCAAATACTTGGTTCTTCGCATAGGTAGAACGGGCATGTGATACAAGTTACAGGCAAGGTTTCATATCTGTCCAATCAGAGATCATGTTTTCAGTTTAATACACGTTATATCATTATTTAGCAAAAGCAAATGTAAGCGGTAAATAAAAACATGGCTAAAATAAAAGGAAAAGAAGTGGAAAAGGCGAAATGCCGAACGGAAAAGGGAGCATACGTAAGACATTCTTCACGTTTTTGTTCAGAGACACTTTTGCCACATACCTTAAATCAAATAAATCAAAACTATTTGAAATAGGCCATTGATTAAAAGAATTAAAAATATTAGGGTAACTTTTCAGAAATGAAATGGTGTTTCTTGTCTAAAGTTTAAAAAAAGGATATTCATCTTACCGGACTTACTGTTGATTCTCTATTTTGGTTTAAACCCATGCACATAACTTGATAGGCAGTGTCAACTTTGAAGGAATATATCTATAGGATACACAAGTTACATGTCGCTGATGATAAGTAAGCATTGATTTTTTGGGAGTAAGTATTAAAGCATCTGTTCTAAATGTTATTGCAAAAAAAAAAACGGATGAAATGACCCTCTGTTGAACTACTTATCAAGGCAGGATACATGCATTATGTGGGCTGTTATATTTTTCCCTATTTTTTCGCCACCGATACTCAATTCACTACAAAATATACAACTTAAAAAATGTTTTCCAATGTCTATATAAGAGATTATGGTGCATGTTGTTCAAATGAATAATGGCTATTCATAAAACTAAAAATTAAGAAAGCGATAATGCAAGCAATAGTTATCTATAATGTCTGTCTATCATTTATACTTGTTTTCATGTAATTGAGTGATGTGATCAAGTAATATAGGTTTATTTCAACATACCATAATCATATTTAACAATCATCACTTCAAAGAAACATAGTTTTGTTAACATGTACTTTTCACATTGCAGGGATAGGGTAATTATTCAAGTAGATCGTTCTGTATTGTATTAATGTTATTTTAATCCCAAGAGATGATTATACAACACAATGTTTGAAGATTTGATATATAATATTCTAAAGTTAATTAAGCGACCACCGAAGATAAATTCATTCCTGCTATTTATACTGAGCAATGGCATTCTTTCGTATCATTACCAGGAATATATATTTCTTTTTATTCATAGTTTAAGGTACATTTTCATTTTTTTTAGTTTTAAGCACTGCTGAGAAATAATAATTTTCAAAATGTGCATATGGTGCATACAATTATTTTCGTAATCTGGAAATTTTGTATTGATATAACTATGCGAATGTTATTACATGAAACGTTTGATAAATGTCGGTACAGATTTGTATATGCAAAATAGTTAAAAATCTGATCAATCTCTTTAGTGGAATAATTTTTTTTCTTCAAAACTATATTCTGAAGATAAGAAAAAATGGACATAACAAACTTCAATGTTATCTTAACCTCATACTGATTAATTTAACCTTTTGATGCTTGATAAACATTGGATGGAAAAAACTATCGTTTAAAGTTTCTGCGTAAAATGGGTAACCTCAATGCTGTTCATACTAAACAGTGACCAGATCGTTAGCTTTAGTTTTTGTCCGTTTTTGAACTATTTAGTATTAAACAAATATTGCAAATCAAACAATATAAATCATATAAAGTACTGAAAGAGGTTATTGATTCCAAGTGATAAAGATTTTATAGGATTTGATATTTTCAATTTTTCAACCAACTAACGTTACAACTGATTAAGATCCCGTTCTCTCTTTAACTCCGTTCACACGACAAAACAAAATCAAATTCGACAACAATCATGACCGGTTCGCATTCAAAATAGTCCGGAATAATACCATTAACGGTACCAATTTTTAACTGCACCAGATACGCATTTCAACAAATAATGTCTCTTTATTGATGCTCGAGGAAAAATAATTGAAAGTCCAAAACCTAATACCAACGTTCAAGAGCTAATACAAAACAAAAAGATTACATGCGTATTTGTGAATCCGGGGTCAGACCATTTTAGATAGGTTGTCTGACATCCGATTTCAACAAACATCGGATTTGAGTCTAGAATAAATATACGTGTGAACCCAAATGCATTATCTAATCCGGAATATATCAGCTCAAAAGGCTTTTGTTTACATTTTTGGCACCAGAAAATCACGTGCATGCATAAATATTTATTTCACTCGTATATACATGTGGAATTTATAGATATACAGAATGACAATTACACATTACAGAACCGCTTGTGAACGCAAACTAAATTTGAATCCGATAGGATAATTTCAGGTATACATATTCGATTTGTTAACAGGGCATTTTTTTTACTTTTTTACATGAAATGACCGTTTGACCTATTGTGTGCGTGCATTAAGTATGAATGGAGATATTTATTATTCGATGCTTAAATAAGATTAGAATATGCTTGTGAAACCTTACTTTTTTCTATAGTAGCCTTTATGTGCAGTGTTTGAAATAAACATCTGGGAAATTTAATTAAATTGCTTCACATAATAATTTGCAACTTTGGAGTATCGTGTTTCGTACAAAAGACTTTGGTAATTTTTCGTTTTCCCATTTGAAAAAATCCCACTTATGTTGGGTCTTTCCTTACATTTTGTTATAGATTCAGACATTTTTTTTTCTCAGCCAATACAGCATGAGCTGTTGGTCCAAATCTGTAATATTCCCTATTGAAATTATACACCAAATAATATTTATGAATGCATACATATGTCAATCAGTTTCTGTGGTTGCTGACGATCATGCAGAATCTAACCACTCTGTTCTTTTCTAATTCTTAGTTAAAAAACAAAAGCGATAATATATATTGCCAATTACATTGGTATTTTACAGAGAATGACTGCGTATGCATCCTTTACAAACTTCATAACCGGTAGTCATCACAAGTACACTTCAATTCATAATGATTGTAATAAGCTTTTTTCTCATGCATTTTTGATACTTATGATGTCAACACTTAATCCGGGGCATTTTTCTGAAGATAAATATTGTATAATGACTTATTTGTCAATTTATCAAACTTCCCAATCTATTTTATATCCGGGTTTTTAAACATCAGACCTCCTACAGTATCCTTTTGTAAAGAGTGGCCATATCCGAAAGATTACTTTTGACTATTGAAACAGGAGGAGTCGAGTAAAAAACCTAATAAACACATTTTTATTACGCCATAATTGTTTGCTTCAAAGTTCAAAATTAAGTTGAATACAGAAGTCGGTTGTATAAAAGGAATTAAGCATTTATTTTCCTTAATTTCAATTGAAATTATGTCATATAACAAAATGTTTAGAGAACATGTTTTTTTCCTTCTTTCTAAAACTTTAAAAATCGGGAATGGTTTTGGTTTATCAGCAGTAAATATGGGCTGCTATATGCATCTATATGCACTGAAAAAAATTAGCATTTCAGTTTTTATCATATGATAGGCAATCTTTGAAGTTAACACAAGACTTTTTGAGGAAGTTTTTTCGGGCTTGGGGATTAACAATCAACGCAACCAAGTATATTGATACGACTTAACCGACTCATATAATTGTACTTCAACAAATTCATAAAGTCAATTGCATGTAATGATAATGAATTAAACCAACCACATTTGGAGTAGTCCTGAGTTAGCTAAATATCCAAAAACAAAAGGTTGGTTTGTTATGTTGGATGCTTGTTTCTCAATGCTGTAAATGATTCATTGCTATGTTAAGTTTAATATCAATTCGTTTCCAATTATTTCATTTGTAGTTTTCCATTCTATATTTGTCGAAAAATATTTTTACTTTGCAGTGACAAGTTGTACAATGAGTCAAATGAAACTCACTTGGAAACGTTTCACAAATTCTTAAGTAGTTATTGAATGGGTTAACTGCATGGTGTGATGTTGAATAGGCTAACTGGTGTGAAGCTTAATATAGGTGAACCGGCGTGATGTTGAATAGGTTAAACCGGTGTGATGATTAGGTCAATTGGTGTGATGTTGAATGAACACTTGCTTGATTAGTCCATGGAAGTAGAATGTCAATATAATTAACTTCCATGATTAGTGAAGGCAAATGTGAAGCCTTCTCTTTACAAAACATTATCTCTTTGGCTAATAAATTATATAGTTATGTTTTAACTGCTGTCTCCCTTTCTGCTTTAATTGCGTCTTTAGAATAAATGATCGTTCTGCATACGTTTAGCAGTACTTTTCTTTTTACTTAAATTGTGATGTGTTGAGCGTATTGTTTTTTTATAAGTTTTGTTTTAAAGAATACAAATTTAAGTCATTGCACAGTCTCTGTAAAAAACAATTATCCAATACAACAGTCGTCTGCATATCCGTGTTAATTATAATAACTTATCTATCAATTATTCAAATTGTCTTCATATGTTTCTCAGCCTATTTTTGGTTTTAATTGTTTTATTTCTGATAGCGCGTTTTACAACTTATAAATCTCCGTTGTCTTAAATGGAAGCTTGATTGTGTATAATTTTCACATTAAAATGGGCTAAGAATAATTTCAATAAGACCATGCTATATAAAAAAATAAATAAATAAAAAGATAGAGTGATAAGTTAATTAATTAATTAATCATTATATATATATATTTTAAAATTATTAATTAATTAAATAATTAAAACAATTAAAAAAAATATATATAAAATGATTGTAAATTGTCTCTGAATTGATTACTTTAAAGTACGATACATTGCAGAAACGTTGTCTGTTTTTTTTTTTATATTTGACAAGAAATATAAATACGTTGATTAAATCGTTAACCATATCATTGTTACTGATGTGTAAACATTGCTTCCCTATAACATCAGTTTTGTTGATGTATAGGGATTTTGTTTTGATGGTTGATCTTCTGTATAGTATCTGTTGATTTCACTCAAAATTTGGGCCAATTAAAGTAAAAATTTAGGATAATGCTTGTCTATAATTGACCTCAAAATGTCTTTTTTTTAAATTCTGTTGTTAATGTTCTGGCTCCTCCCCTTTTGTTTTTATTAGTGCGCTGTCTCATCCCTCAACCCCTTCGTTTTGTTGGTGTGCTGTCTCATTGATATTTATGCCTTATCTCATTTCATCCATTGTTTTATTTATATTGTAATATACCAATTTAAAAAATATCTGCGAATACGATTTGCCTAACGATTTCAACCTTCCATGGTTTTAATCAGGCTTTCTGGAACATACATGTCCGTTTTTGCTTATTCTCTTTTGTGCGTCTTTTTCCGTAGGGGTCAGATATTAGTGGTTGGTTTGGTAAGTTTTACTAATACACTTGGTAATAGCTGCAATTCTTAATGTATTATTTTGTTTTACAAAAACTGTCTAGAACGAGTATATCTCCTCGAGTTCTCGAAAAAAGAAGTTTGTTCGGTCCGTATTCTTGGTAAATGGAAAAGGGTGCAAAATATAACATAGAGGATGCCTTTACCTATATATTGAACAAAAGAAAATTAGCCAGTTATAAGATGATTAGTTATTATAATGTGTTCGTATATATGTAAAAAACGACAGGTTCAACAAACAATTGTTAGGAAGTAGTAGACACATTTATTTACGTAAAGAAAAAAAAATGTAAGTAAATGTCACCAATAAAGGTAAATGCTGAGTTTTGCAAAAACAATATAGGAAATAATCAATGTAAATTAAGCATTGGTACAGTAATGAGGAAATGGATATTTCCGATAGTGTCTATAGTATCTCATGGCCAAGAGGACTTATCTTATATTTATGTGTGTATTTATATATATTATCTGTCAATGTCAAATTTTAGATGTAGACACAATGTATTGCACGAACAAGAAAATATTGACATTAGCTTTGTATTGATTGCTGAAAGTCTAATCCTCAAATAATAAGAGATACTTATCCAGTGCTGCACTTGTAACACTATTTATGATTTATCGTCTAATTAATTATGTGGTAACTATGAATTCATATTTGATATAATGTGTGATTGTATGCTACCGAATACGAATGCCAAAAGAAAAAAAAAAACGTTTGTTGCGTGTTTGATTCACGATTATTTTACGTTTCATGACATATACTATATATATAGTAGTAAAAACTTTAAGTAATTATGTTTTTTTTTTTCTCTTTTCAGTTTGCAAGACCTGTATTGTACGATATTTAGATAGTAGCAAGTTTTGTCCAATATGTGACGTTCAAGTTCATAAAACAAAACCACTTGTTAATATTAGGTTTGTATATTATTCAAATATGCATTTGAGAAAATTATTTGCATTGACAATTTAATAACTTTTCTCGACCCATCCATATTTATACATATGCATCATGTTTGGTGATATGGTGAAGTATAAATACGAGACGGTGCATAAAGGTACGTTCTTTGGCTTATACGACCCTGTACATTCACCAAAAATTAAAATGTGTATAGTAACATTATTAATGGTATGTATATTTTAATATTCATTTATACAATTTTTGTTTACTTCTGAATTTAGACTTACTTAATAGTTTAGGCTTTTTGTCACATTTGTATTGAATTGTCTTAAAGAAGATTTGTCAAATTAGAGAAAAAAGTCTTATTTTCAGAGGTGTCTTGGATAGTTTTTAAACAATTCAATGAAAGTACTGTTTTTGTTGCTATGGGAGAATAGAACAATGTGACGACACCCCTTCCCAAACAGAACTTTTGATATTTGGAACGTTCATCACGAGGATGCTTTTTATTATTAGTTCACATAAAATGTTCTGGTTTATATAGTTAAATTGATGAAAATAAATAAGTCACCATATCACGTTATCGTTCGATTTCGTGTTCTGACAGATGACATTGGGGGAACTTTACTATATACAACTCTCATTCTTATAAACCTTTCGGATATATAAAATTAAATAAATAAAAAGAATACTATTATAAAGGAGATTAAGAATAAAATACAATTATATAGTTTTCGTCAAAGGTAGATCCACTAATTGTAAAAAGGTTAAAACAATGAAACGTAAAACGGAAGTCAATTTAATTGTTTTTGAAAGTTTTTGCTCTTGTATATTTGGTTGTACCAGTTCTTTATTTTCTTCTATAGCTTGATTAGAAATAGTGGTTAAACTTGTCAGTTTGGAAATCCATCTTAACGCCTATTTATATTTATAAATCCAATCAATAGCATTATGTTACACGTTTTACAAACTAATTACTTCTGCTATCCATGCCACAAGTCATAAAAGTGCCTTATACAACATTTGTGTAATACCCAGCACACACTAAACCTAATTTGAGATCGAAAAATATACGCATATACTAATATTTACATCGAAATTGAATCCATTTGTGTTCGCTTTTTTAAGTTGTGTGCATGTGGAATACGTATTCAAATTCCCATAATGGTATTGATAGTTTGAATGTTCTCTCCTATTCATGTATTCAGTGTATTGTTATACATTCAGTGATTGAAAAGGCGTGTGAGAATGCTCGAAAAGTGACTTGAACACGTGCTGTAATCACCAACCGTTATGTGCACATGCATTGAACATTGGCACGCACTTGCTATTTGATGTCAAATTAGTTTTAGAAGACGAAGCTTGGTGTTCTCTAATGTAACATGTATTGATGTAAATCTAAGAAATCCTCTTATCGATTGGATTTATTATTAGCGATGATTACTTCTTTTGGTTAAATTTAATATCCATTATATTTATGAATCTGTACTTGCTTGGATAAAATAAATGATTATTTTAGTGATAAGTGTGTTTAAATAAAAAGATTTTTGTTCATATTATAGACTGTATAAGATTATAATAAATAACGTGTTTAAAGATATAAGTAATATTATTAAAAATGATAACCTTTTCAAACGTGTAATTCAACTGTTATACGTAATGCACGTATATATTTGACACAGATATACGAAATGTACGTATGTATATTTGACACAGATATACGTAACGCACGTATATATTTGACACAGATATACGTAATATACGTATGTATATTTGACACAGATATACGTAACGCACGTATATATTTGACACAGATATACGTAATGTACGTATGTATATTTGACACAGATATGCGTAACGCACGTAAATATTTGACACAGATATACGTAATGTACGTATGGATTTGACACAAATATACGTACTGTACGTATGGGTTCCGCGTTTTTCCATTCGTTTGATAAGGAATGGCTTTTTCATTTGTTTTATATATATGATATTTACATGCCGTATAATATGATATTTACGTGTATGTTATATGATATTTACATTTGTATATTACGTGTCGTAGGTATTTAGTTTAATTATTAAAATCGTGTGCAAATGTAAAATAGTCTTAAGTAATGCTTATAAATACTTGTTCTTTTTATGTGTTCTTATTTATCTTGTTGTTTTTTCTCCATTTGACTTAAAAAAATGTTCCGTAAGTTTTTTTTTTATTTCCTCAGAATGTCGCTTCCATTAGATTTCGTTGATTTTTACATGAAAGGGATGGTATTTATCATACATGCATACAGAAATCATTTGTATACAAAATTCCAGCTTATTCTTTGATGTTGTGGAATATCTGGTAGAGTCCCCCATCTTCCTTATTCGGGAGAAAATCCGATAATATTGGCAACTAAAATTGCTCTGTCACTTAATTGTAATCTGTTTGGAGTGGATTGATATGAATTATACATGCGGCGTTCAAAAATGGCAGGAAATTTATTCATTGATTTTTCCACGTCGACAAAAATTGAATGAAAGTGCTATGTGCACGATACCACTGGTTATAATAGGGTTATTTTACGAGCAAATCCTTACAACGATGGACCATTAGCATATTTTATTATATTATAAATAATGAGATATTCAGTTTCTTTGTCATAATAATAAAGTACTTGTCTACATGACGAGAAAAAGAGACGTATGTGTTCACAAAGAGGGGTACTCTATAATGTCCGAAATTTAAAAAAGCTTGTTAAATTATTTTATATCAAGATAACATGATATAACAAAATTAATGTATATGGGACCTATTTGATAATAGTGTCTAAAATCTGTCCAAAGAAGTGTCATATATATATATACCACATCTTAAGGTCATCTATAACAGACTCAACCGTAAGGCATGTCAAACTATATTTTTGGTTTCGCTAAGATGGTATTTTGATAGACATGAATAGATAAGGATAAAGAAATAGATTTTTTTATCAAAAAATGTTTGTTATATGTTTTATTTATCAATCGCATCATTGTCCACCTTTCCTTTCATAGTCCAAACATATTTGTTTAGTTAAATTCATTGTTCATGTTTTGTTTTTTGCGATAACGATCATATATATATATATATATACACATATCTATTATCAATGCGAGCAATATATAGTTATACTCTTGTTTTCTTTAGAACTTGTATCAAAATGTTGTCACATTATTGTATATACACAACCTTTTCCTTATGAATGTTTGCTATTTTGTTTTTTAATTTGTTTTGGTTTGAAGTTCTTATTTCCTAAGATCATCTTGAGATGTGTAGTATACTGATTGGTATTTTAGTCTGGGAAAACATGATTTTATTAGTTGAAATTGTCTTTGACGGCCTTTTATAGCCGACTAACGGTATGGGGTTTTCTCATTGTTGAAGGCCGTACGGTTGCCTATATTTGATTACATCCACTTCATTTGAACTTTGGTGGATAGTTGTCTCATTGGCAATCATACCACATCTCCTTATTTTTATTTTGAACTATAACTTCCAGTATAAATTCGAGTACTCTTAGGTCGGTAGTGTGTCTCAAAATGTCTTTATGTTAGTTGTTTGTCCTCGTCCCGATCTAAAGTTTATGTTCGATCTTTTATGGCTTACTATACGGTATGGGTTTTGCTCATTGTTGTAGACCGTACGGTGACCTGTAGTTGTTTTTACATCCTCATCCTTAGGTCTCTGGTGGATAATGTATAATTGGCAATCAAACACATCTCCTTATATTTACATTGAGTCTCTTGTCTCGTTATTCAAACTGCGAGGAAGAATTGAAGGATACATTTGTAATGTTGCAAATTATAATTATTCAATAACTCTATCTAATAACTATAATATTTTATTAGACAGCCATAAGACAAAATTAAGTTTTATTTCTTATTCACTTTTATAAAACCAGCTATTGAATGCTTTACCTTGCATACACTATGTAGCAATTATCAATAAATAATATATATATGCAATATCACTCGTGCATTTCGCCTATGATACTGTCTTGATATGCTTTAAGGCATAAATTCCAACAATTAAAGATCTCTAAGCAATCTTCAAACCAAGGAACCAATAACAGCACAGTTCACCTATTTTGTATGTAGAAGCCCATACCAAGACGAATAAATGATGTCGAATAAACCTTACAAAGTTCATGACCAAAAACAACAGCACAGTTCACCTATTTTGTATGTAGAAGCCCATACCAAGACGAACAAATGATGTCGAATATACCTTACAAAGTTCATGACCAAAAACAGCTAGGAAATGTACACAATCAAAGAGTTGTAAATAATTGTTTTGTTACTTTTCAGAATGGACCATACTTTACAAGATATGGTGTACAAACTAGTGCCTAATCTATTTCATGGTAAGGTTCATTTACGTCTATAGATATAATGTTTTTATTTCAGTCCTAATAACAGGTTGTCAGATTAATTTGACATGTTAATTTTATTTTAATTGATAGAATTACAATGATCGTTTTATTTACATATCCACTACATTCATGCATCATATCAAACAACCGCGAAAAATCAGGCGTAACTGTATAAAAAACTATTGTCGCAGGGTTTCAACTAAATTTATCATGGAAACCCTGCGCAGACTTAGTTCATTTGCATTCATAATTATAATTTGCTAAACAAAAGATGCTTTTCATCTATAATGCGAAACCATTCATGTAGTGGCAATGATCAGAACGACCTTTTGTGCATGCATTTAAGTGGTTCTCAACAACACATTTATTTACACGCATTCATAAGGTTTTAACGTGTTTGTGTCAACAATTAAAGAGAACTGATGGATATTCATATATTTATGTGCAAGTACTGATGTTGTGTCATGGATAGATACCCAATATCCTTAGTTTTTATACGCCCGTTTACGGGACGTATTATGGTATACCGTTGTCCGTCTGTCCGTCCGTCGTCAACATGTCGGACATTAACTCAAAAAACGCTTTAACCAATTTGCATAAAACTTTGGTTAATTGTTTATATCTATTGACGTGAGCTCCCTTTCGTTTTTTATAAATTTTAGATTTTACGTTTCCGAGTTGTGGGGTTTTATTAATTAAAAAAGGGGGATTTTCCAGTTTTTGGACAATAACTCAAGAATGCTTTCACCAAGTTGCAAGAAATTGTGGTGAATTGTTTATATCTATTGGCATGAGCTCGCTTTCGATTTTTATATATTTTAGATTTTACGTTTCCGAGTAACAGGGTTTTATTCATATAAAAAGGGGGATTTTCCAGTTTTCGGACAAAAAATCAAAAATGCTTTCAGCAGTTCTTATGAAACTTTGATGAATTGTTTATATCTATTGATTTAAGCTCCGTTTAGAATTTATAAATTTCACATTTTACATTTCTGAGTTATGGGGTTTTCTTCATTAAAAAAGGGGGGATTTTCCAGTTTTCAGACAATAACTCAAAAATGCTGTCAGCAATTCTCATGAAACTTTGGTGAATTGTTTATATCTATTGATGTAAGCTCCCTTTACATTTTCATAAATTTCTAATATGACATTGAGAATTAATTGAACTTTAATTGTTTATAGTCTGACAACAGATTTACTAAGTATTGCGCAATAGCACAGTGTATTGCACAACAGCAAGAAATCTTTAATTGAATATAAATTCAATTCATATAACCAATTTCAAGTTCTTTGACTACATTTATTCAGAAACCTATAATATGTCAAACATTTAATACAATCCAAATTCAGACCTGTATCAAGCTTGAATATTGTGTCCATTTTTGTCCCAACTGTTCAGGATTGGACCTCTGCGGGCGTATCTAGCTGCGCTCAGCGAAGCAGTTTATTCTATTATAATGTTCATTGACTTAAATCTCAATTATTCAAACAGGAAAACTCTAGAAAAGAAATTGATTTGTATTCCGGTTGTAAACGCTTCTATGAGTATTACCTTCATATATTCCCTTTCCTGTTAATAATGAATATTGAATATAATATATAATTATACGTGTATTCCATAAAAGTCAGCTTATGCATAAGCTTCAGTGTCTCTGATTTTACATCAAGTATGTATGTTTTTTCCCTCAAGATTAATCTGGTATTTGATTATCAGTCAGATTAACAGAAAGTTATAGGATTTATCAAGAGTGATAATACCTTTTGTCTTATTTGAAAATGTTTGAATCGTTTATTATCGAACATCAAAAAGTTTACATGGGTGCTAGGCAGGAGACGATTACTCGGTTGACGCAGCCGGTCTCGCTGCGATTAGAGTTCATGGAATCTTTCAAGATTTTATCTCTTGATAAGTATATAATTTTCGATTTTTGAACATCAGTAAAATACCGAATCCTCTCACTTACATGGTTTTTAAACTGAATTGTATTCCTATGGTGTGTGCAAAAGACTTCTTTGAAAGGGGGTCGATAGTGAAACTTGTAAAGTAACATTTGTCATGCTGTACGCCAATGATGTCATAGCGGGTTACAAATATTCAAGTTAACTTCCAGTCCATTAGTTAAAATTTGTCATATTTTCTATTTCCACCAAGTGATGTGCAAGTCCTTAATTTGCATAAAATACAACTTGTATCTTGTGGAAAATAACTAACAGGAAAACAATTAATACCGCATCACATCAAACTACTGACACATTGCTCAAGTATAGAGAGATATTTTATTTCCAATTAGTATATAAAGTCGTGTATTTTTCATGTATAACGATGACTCTCTCAATAGAAAAAATTGCATTCCAAGAAGTGAACTTTCGGCCATTGTTGCCAGCTGTAGAAAATAACTTACAATATAACAGGCGGATTGATTTTCATCATCATTATTTCCTTTTTTTGTATTTACAATAATCAGGCTTTTTACACCTCTCATAAATGACAATGAAAATGTTAAATGGGCCTAAACCATATACTTTCATGCCGACTTGGGAATATATATTGCATTTTTCCGGTAGTAGTATTTTTAAAATGCGATACTCGAGATATCACAATGTGATACTCGAGATATCACAATTACAGAGGCCACAATAAAACGGTTCTTGAAATCTGAACACCAAAAAAATGGACTGTTCTCGTCTTAGTCATTGTATGTTTCTGTCCGATTAAGCAAGAAAAAAACGAACAGATAAATAGAATTAAATTTAAAAAAATGATATATATTAATTTATGAACGTGTGATACATGTAAATATTGAAAGACAAAGGTTATTCGAAGAGGCATCTGTTGGCAGTATACTCAAATAGCTCTTGACTGATTTGGACCAGAAAGATATGGTAGAGTTGATCCTTTCGACAAAGAAATTCCTGAAACGAACGATAAATTATGGCAATTCTTTGAATTTTACATATATTCACCAGAAACTATATATATCCATAGAAACTCTCTGAAATACGATGTCGGTATTCGTTATCTTAATTCAGAAATTTCTTATATATGCAAAACATTTAATTTCATTAAATAGCTCGTGACTGATTTGGACCAGAAAGTCAGTGTTTATATATTTTCCCTTAATGAAAGAAGTATTTTTAAAGACAAAAAGTTAATAAATAGGGGAAATAATATTTTCAATAATCAGAAACAGTTGCTTGTATTATTGTTACAGTGTATTCTGCAGTTGGATGAACATTCAAAATTTCTTATATCAAACAAAAAAGTCAAATATCAGTATCTACTGCAACAATGAAATTCACTTTAGGCTCGGGATTTAATACAAAAACCAATAAAGATTTAACGATATTCATTTGTATAACACTCTACCTGTGTTAAACATTTTTAGTTATTTTACTAGACTATACATATTATTTCAATACCCTTTATAGAAAAAAAATACAAAATGAAATTTTAAACTTGGTTAATATTTTATTTAAAGAAAAATTTGTCATAGATTTGGTATTATTTAGTATTATATGTAGTTACTTTTCCTCAAATTTATATGCCAGATGTTCATTTCTTTCCTCCATATTCCAATCTATATTATTCATTGCATTAACAGCTGAACGATATATTAACACACACGCGGATAGTTACTTTAACATATGTATTTTGTTTAATATATTATTAATGCAAAGCTGTAGGAATTTTTCGGTAATCATAGCTGACAGACGTACTTCTCGTGTGCCAAAATATTATTTATACTACAGCAATTTAACATCTTTTATGTAAATGAACACTAAAATATATCATATTGTGCGTGAAATGATGTGCGGTATTTAAAAATGCATAGATCCATTTACTAGTATATCTTACCCAACTATATCCCTAATTTGTGTATAATCATATATCTGATATATTTATTAGTATCTATATTCTTTTTGGCAAAAATGAAACAGCGATCATATATTGATTAATGTATATAAAGTATTAACGCGTATTATGCTGTTTTGCAGAGGAAATGAAAAGACGTCGAGAGTTTTATAAAGAAAACATCGACGAAGAAGGTTAGTATGAAAAGTGTTGGTTCTTGTGGTATAAAATATTCCTTCAATTGCTCTGATAATTGTCCTACAACCTTTAATATCTTTAAAGTATTACAACTGTAATAGCAAGTGAATCAAATTCATATTCACCTGACATTATATTGTATCGTGATAACTGTTAGAACAAAATATATGCAGCTCTCTTACTCGCACATACTGTAGCAAAACATGTGTATTTCACAACTGATGACGTCTCAGTGAAATTGTTTCTACCAATCATGAAGATCTTTGATCATATATTATTTTTTATCCGAATACTGCTTGAAGTATTTGATAATTTATTTTTAAAATGCAATATCCAAAACATAAGTGTTTGACTCGATGTCTTCGTTCTCGGACTTAATGGTTTAATTGTAAAAATTCATGGAATAAGTTTTTAAGTCTTACGAATGTGATACTTTCTTATTACGAAAACCGTCTGCAGTAGAGCAAATTATGCCATTTACATTTATAAGTATATTTTAAATTTATTACTCAAATTTTGCAGATAGTCCGGAAGGACCATGGCCAGAATATTACATAGATGATGATGGTGAAATACAACGAGAACGTGTCATCTTTTCTGATGACGAACAGATTAGTTTATCGCTTCAACTAAGTACCGAGTGAGTTTATAAAAGTATATGGTCACTAATTTCTATAGGTTGAAACAGTAATGTTCATTTCTATCAAGTTTCAGAATAAACTCGTAAAATATTGTTACATTTATTCCTTGTGCTTCAGCTAAACCTGTCTGGAACGTTTCCAAATCATTTACTTCTTTCAGACATTTCGTTTTTGTGTTTTAAGGGTGTTGATGTGCATAGCATTCAACACTCTCATACGTTCCTTATCACAAGTGCACCATATTAAATTTCATTCTACAGTAGTTAAAATGTGCATTATATCAGAAAAAGCTGCACAAGTTATCAAAAGCCTGTCATATTCTGTTAGTTTATAATCTATTTGCATTCCTTTCATCGTTAGTTTCTAAATTCAATAACAGTACTATCAAATTTCTTACAGCGGTAAACCACCCAAATCACCTGATAAAAGGGATCCCAAGAGTTCAACAGAGGTCAGTATGAACATAGGATTTAACGTACAAAATAATAATACACTATATCAACAATAGAAGCCCCCTTGATACCAGATTACGTTGTGTATAATTTGTTTGCCAGGTCATATCGATTAGAAGAGATTTGATTCTTACATATCGTAACAGATATCTATATAATATATTATATTATTTGACTTCACTGACATATTTGGATCTTTCTAGATACATTGTATCAAGCGATGGAAGCGGTTACTAATATTTACTATAAAAAGCGTTTCTTATTGTCGAAGTCAGATGGGAACTATTTTCTTTGATTTGATTTTTTATTCGTACAGCTTCATATGTTTAGGTTTAACTAATAAAATATGTTTTCTTTATCCTTGATTAATGAATACTATAAAATGTACACATTTTAAAATTTTATTTCATGGTAAAGACCCGTTTCTGACCAATTTTTGTTTCCGAGTTTTCTAAATCATTTAATATTTGCAGTGATTCACTGAATTCATTATAAGAAAGTATATAGTTCTATCAAACTCATAAAATGAATATTAGTAATAAATGTAGTATTTATATATACTAGTATATTTCAAATTTTAATTCCGCTGACATGCATCTAGTTTTGGGATTCGGAAGTCGTTTTTTTTTAAATGATGACTAGAAACTTGATAACCCAAACCAATGCAACATAAATATTTCAGTTCTTGAAATATAAATACTACATTATCATAAATTATACTAATATTTTTTTATGATAACATTTATAATAACTTTTACATGATACCTTGGTGCTTATAATTAAATTTAATAAAATAAAATAAAATAAAAAAAGTCCGTATACATTGGCCTGCATTATATTTTTTAAATTATTATAAATTATTTCAATTTTGGGTTGATAAAACGTTCAAATTCTTCCTTGATAAATGATTTCATAATTTAGTTGATAATGATTTTATTTGATAATGAATTAATTTGCCTTTTTTCTTTCCTTATCTCTCTTTAAATAAGCCTACGTCCCGGTAAAGTGATATTTTAACTTTTGATTCAAATGGAGTAGAGTTTAAAGTATGACAATCGATTACAACCAAAAGCGTCAATAAATTAAATAGTTAACCATCAGCTTAATGTAGGCCTTTGCATAATTACGAAAAATTGTTCATGTGTTGATAGAAACATAAATGGTGACAAGGCACAACCCGATCCATAAATCTGCGTCTAGGGTCATCAAGGTCAAGGTTGCGGTCTGATGACTCTATTGTTTCTTTGTTTATGCCGAACAAAAATCAACACAATTGTTTTTATGGTAAGATTTAACATGGTTATAGAGAAAAAGCTTTTTTTCAGTGCTTTGTTTTCACGTTTTTTTTTATAGATGACGGATTGTCGTTATTTGTTGTGTCCTGCTGCCGTAACCGTATCACATTTGAAGAAATTCATTCGCCTGAAATTCAATCTGTGTGACCGATATCAGGTATATATATATAAAGTAAATTATCCTAAACCAACCACGTGTAAATAACCTGTATTTCTTAAGGCATATGGAAGTATTCATAAAGTGTAATCAGGCTTTTAAAATTTATTTCTTGTGGTTTTCAAATATTAAGTTTATTGTCAGTTGTAAATTAAAAGATTAAGATTTGACAAGGATATTTTTGTAGTTATCAGATCTCCCCCATACATGTTTATTTCTATATGTCTGACCTATTTATAAGACAAAAATTTAAGGGTATTGTACTCTTATTTGTTTACAGTTTGATGGAAGTAAATATTGATGGAATATCTGGTCAATTGTTATTACAGGAGATTGACAATCATCATATTTAAAAAAAAATGAATTCCATCCTTTTAATTGTAATTTTGATAGGTATTATATACGTGGCAGTAGAAATACATATAAATCATAGTTGACGAAAAGGACGATGCAAAATTCTGTTCTTTAAATTTAATGGTACTTAGAAAGTAATGATATATCACTATTATGATACTCATCACACACAAACAGTACGTGCACTAATAAGTTCCTTGTAACTGAAAGAGAAATACTATATACATGTAAATAATTTGACGTATAGAAAACTTTTTTAAATACACAATAAATGTCAACGTATGCAGTTTCCATGAGTAGTTAGTTCTAAACTTAATATTGTTGGATAGCCAACATCAATATATTGTTTTTGTATATTTGAAGATCGATGTTTATCACTCGGATGAAATCCTTCAGGACCATTACACACTTATGGACATTGCGTACATCTACGCTTGGAGACGAGTAAGTAAAATTTTCCTTTAATTTGATATTTAGTAATAACATTGATTTATGCCAAAAGCCTAATCTTGTATGAAAGAAGATCCTCATTACGGATAATTTGATTCGTATTTGGTAACACATTTTATTCTCTGTAGAACATCAATATAATAAAAGAGAATCAAACATAAAATAAATTGTATCTTTTTTTATTATTGTGACACGTTAGCAGTTTTTGATGGCAATACATTTGAATCATTGCATCAGCAGATATAATTTTATTCATTTAAAATGTTCAAATTAATGTTTGAATTAAATTTTTTTATCGTTTACCGATGCGTTGACGACGCTAAGGGCGTTGATCAGAAAATTTCTTTTTTACCCCCTCAAATATCATTTTCTCATATTTTTGAGTTCATATCAAAATGTTCATGAAATGCCGTTACAATGAAAACAACTTTTGAGTAAACTGAAAAATACGTTTTTCGGCATGTTTCGCCGATTCTTAATGTGTCATTTGAACAAGGTGAGTACAAATCTGAGAATATCTGTCTCACATATGACCAGGAATCTGATGTTCAGTAGTTGTCGTTTGTTGATGTGGTTCATAAGTGTTTCTCGTTTTTTATATAGATTAGACCGTTGGTTTTCCCGTTTGAATGGTTTTACACTAGTAATTTTTGGGGCCCTTTATAGCTTGCTGTTCGCTGTGAGCCAAGGCTCCGTGTTGAAGACCGTACTTTGACCTATAATGGTTTACCTTTATAAATTTTGACTTGGATGGAGAGTTGTCTCATTGGCACTCATACCACATCTTCTTATATCTATATATTATGTAATTGTTGTAAACGCATTCGCGTCCCTTTTTCCTCGATTGTCACACGTACAACCGAATTTGTACTTACCATGAGCAACACGACGAGTGCCACATGTGGAGCAGGATCTGCTTACCACTTTGGAGCACCTGAGATTCCTCCGGTTTTTTGGTGGAGTTCGTGGATCTCAGTTGTTTAGCTTTGCAGTGTTTTGTAAACTGTTGTTAGTCTTTGACGTTTTTCGTTTTTGTCATGGTTTTGTTGGTTTCTCTTCGACTTTTCAATTTTGATTGTCCCTTTTGTATCTTTCGTCTTTTTTTAAAAGATTGGCTTTCCCATTTCATGTCAAAATACAAATTAATTTAAGGATGAATACCATTTAAATTTAATGTAATGCTATATGTTTTACCCCACAAATTCTTATCCTTTTTTCTTCAGTGGATGTGTTTGATCAGATCTGAACCGATTTTTGATAAACAAATTATAAATTAAAAATTTGAGAGCTTCTAAATATCGTATTGTCGCCAAAGAAGGATTTGAAAATTTTATCACTGCAATTTCAGTTAAGAAGTTTGAACTTCCGCCTCCGAAAGTTTGATTGAAGTGGCCTTTAGTTATCAGAATCTGCCTTACTTTAGATAATTTTCACTGAAGGTCAATTTTTTGGGTCAAAATCAAATTTTTAACATCAGTATTTGTCTATCAAAAGGGAATACACAAATACATTCTACTTTATTGTTTAAAGAACTTCATTTGAACCGTTGAAAACCTGCACGCTGTTGTAAGTGAAATTTGTCTTTATGATCCTTATTTTTTTGGTCGGTATATATCGATGATTTTTTAAGTCAATGCGTATTCTATTTTGGTTGAGTCTACATTTATGTCGCGGAAGTGATCCTACATTCCGTCGGCGGCGTCAACATTTAGGTTCAGTCTGTGGTTAAATTTTTTTTAGGCATCAGTAACCTTGTCAAACCTTCATGGAATTTTATGAAATGTTAACGGAAGCTATATTATGACCAAAAACAATATTCAGAGCAAAATTTTGAAAATATTTTTTTCCATTTTTCATATTTTTTTTATAAGTAGACTTAGTTTTTTTTGCAGTCAGCATGTAGATACAATCTAAGATTTAAGTAATTCAGTCTTCAATAATTTTTTGAAACTTTTATTGAAAAATACCCAAATTTGACAGAAGCTTTTTTATGACCTAAAGTATCCAGAGCATTTTAAAAAACATTTCCGTATTTTCATGATAAAAGGATTTGTTAGACATCCATTACTTCGTCAAACCTTCATAGGTGGAAGCTTTTTTACGATAAAGAGATAATGTCTGAAGCAGAACTCTGAAATTTTTTTTTCCTAATTTTTCCGTATTTTACTGATCGATGGACTTCGTTTTTTTGCAATAGCATTTAGGACATTTAAGGACATTTTGGGATTAAAGTTTTTTAACACGATACATTTCTTAACATTCATTGATTGTTATGAAACTTGGACAGAGGCTAATCTTTTAGATTAAGAAATAGCATCAAAGAAAAAAGTTTTATTTTGTTTAAATTTACGTATTTTCCTTATAACTGTTCTACCTTTTACAGTCGACATTACACTTTTACACTGAAAGCAGTAATCGCAGAGCGAGACACAGGGTTACGCAGAATCCTTTACAATTTTTTAGAAATACGTAACCAAACAAAGATCAAGTGTTAACAAAAATGTATTTTTATATATTCCCGTATTGATACTTTTCTTTTTGGAAAAGATTAATTACAATATTAGCGAATATAGAATGATATTTGTTGATTTATGCCTGTTTTTTTTTGCAGAGAGGACCTTTAAGACTATTTTATACCGTGTACACAAATCCCGCAAAACGGATAAAACGCAGTATATCTGCTACAGTAACATCAGACATTGACACAAGTATTGTTGAAATGCCGTGTACCACCAAACCATCAGAGAGTACTGACGATACTGATAAGAAAGTGGCATCCCCCGTTCAAACATCAACCAAATATGATGACCAATCAAAGAGTGAAACAAAGAAGCCTGAGATTCCTTCATCTACCACCAGCTCCAGTAAATGTACAGAAACTGTTAGTTCCACAGTAGATTTTTCAAAACAGGAAAACAAGGTACAAATGCCAACTAATGAAATCGTCACACAAAATTTGGAAATTCCACAGAAAACAGACACAAAGAAAACCTCTGACATACAAAAAATGACAGAAATACCAACATGTACTCAAATCAATGTTCCAATTCCTCACAGATCGTTCTTATTAGGACCGAAACCAAAAGAAAAAACAGAAACGAAGCAAAAGGAGTTGTCAAGTTGGAAAAATTCTAAAGATAAAATACTAAGTCTTCCAGTGAAACATCCAGATAGTAAAATAACAGTCCCTCATCCAAAACCTGTAGAAAATGTCTCGAAAGTCTCAACTACTTTGAAACTACCAAGTGCTTCATTTACTCATAGCAACGGCAAGATCACGAACACTAATGCTACTAGCCAAATAATGAAAGCAAGCAGCAGTAGCACTTCCACTGGTAGCAAAAATTCGAATTCAATACACGATAAACAAACAAAACGAACTCACGTCGATTGTTGTGTTTCGCCCGACACAAAGAAACCAAAATACAATACGGAATCTATTGCTAAAACCGGGATATATAAAAATGGAAAGGATAACCATGTAAATAAACCTGTCAACATCCCATATGTTTCTAAATCTCCAACAAATCTTGTTGGTAGTACATTGTCGTCTGCTGATAAAGCACGCAAACTTCTTCATATACCAGAGAGGCCACTCCTTCCGTATGCCCCTATGGCAGCGCATTATCAAAGCATGAATGGTTTCTTCAATTATAGATCACAAATACAGGATTATGGTAATGATGCACCGCAGGACCTTAGCATGAAAAAGAAATCTAGCGATTCTAATGATAATACAAAGAATCTACCGGATTCAACAAAACACTCGCCTCCTGCGCCAAAAAGTGCTCCTGATAATAAACAGAAAAAGGAAAAAAACGGAGAAATTGACAAGTACGCGTTCACCGATGATGATGCAGCTACCCCAGTTACGTCACGTAAACTGCAACATGTAAAGTCAGAACCTCTAACTTTGAACTGATTAATTATTGTATGGCTTCAATGGATAAGAAATTTTTATGTGAGTTTGGCAAGTAGGAAATTGTATTGTGATGACACGGAAAGTTCTGTGGACGTCTTGCTTATATCACAGAATATGAGTTAGTGCTAAATTGTTTGTTTAACGTAATGAGTGAAAAAGGATGTGGATATTATTGGACTGCTCCATGAAACACTGAAAAAGGAAGTAAATAACAACTTAAATTAGGTTTACAAAGAGTTCAATTATGTTATTGAAAAACCAATGCTTATAGTGCAAATTGCATTTGTAAATGCTAGCTGCTTCAAACCAACTGGCTGTATGTATTAATTACGAGCTTTATAGGTTAAATATATTAAACCAGGATTGGTCACAGTGGATATAGGTGATTTTTCTTCATTCCATTAAATTCGTTTTTCTTTTTGGACATGCATGATATGTATTTTTTTGTTTTTCTTTGACTAATGATTGCCTTGCTCTCTTGGCTCTTTTTCTTCTTTTTGATGGTACAAATAAAAAATATAAAATGAATTATAATTAAATCATAAGGTGTTCTTTTTAGAAATATTTTAAACACTTCACATGGAAGTAATATACTTTTACAGCATATTTTTTTATTCATAAAACTAAGAAATATAAACTCAATTTTATTGTTAGTACCTTAAAATTTTTATGTACAAAAATGTTGTCTTTAAAAAGCATACATCAATATACAAAACAGAGAACAGATACCAGACTGACAGCAGTGTTATTCATTTACAAAAAGGTTTAATAAACGTCAAGCAAAACAAACGTAATTATTGTATTATGTATGACAGAACTAAAACTAGCATGACTATACCAATGCCACAGTCTACTTAAATATTTTGTTTATAAAACAAATTTTAAAGTAAAAAATCGAGATCAAAATACAAAATATATTAAAACCATAAACACACAGTTTGAATTATGAATTTGATTTTAATTGAACATTGGACACACGATTTAAAAAAAATGGTGTAGTCTTTTTTTATTCTGTTTGCTAAACGATTTTTAACATTTTTATTATACTTCATATTTTACATAATTATATTTTTCATTTTCGCACATTCATAACAATCATGTTTATATTTACAATCATACATTTCTGTACATAGTCACTCCTTGAATTGTTTTTAAGTTGGTAAAGAAAAATATTTTTTTCTTAATATCATGTATGACATAATTAAAAGTCATGGGTATCAACTTTACTCTTTTATAACTTTTATTGAAAGACAAATCCTAATCTTATTATTAGTGTTAATTGAAAATGATAATAAAAACTGTAAAAAAATTACCAGCTAAAAAGTCGAATTGAATTAAAAGTGTTAAACATGATCAAATTAACAGATTGAAAAATAATAGTTTTTGTATTTTTGCCCCAAAGTTGTTTATTAATTCCATTTATATTCGATCTAAATATTGCACTTTGGTGAATATATTATATTTCACAACAGGTCAAAATTTATAGAATGGTATAACCATGGAAGTAATATAAATATTACTTCCATGGTATAACTCTCTCTCTCTCTTTCTCTCCTCTCTCCCTCCCTCTCTTTTTATATGAAACAATGGAAGGTGCAAACATTTTTGATAGGTGTTTATAAAAATATGTATTAAGTGTTATGTTTTCCATTTTACTTCATATTGTTTTATTTGAATTTAAAGCTATTTATTTTAAGGATACATATATTATATTGAATGAAATCCTTGTGAAGGAGTTAATATTATTTTATGTTTGGTTGTATGAGATACAATCTGTTAATGTCTGTTGTTGTAGAAATAAAAAAGTTTATGTGAAATGTTCGTATGCATTAAAATAAGAGTTACTGTTTATTTGGGGTCAGATTTATGGCCAAATTACCCTTAATTGTTTTCCCATTCAGTGTTAAAATCGGAAAGTCATTGAAACCTTTTGGAATTTAAATAGTAGAGAGTTGAAATGAAATACTTAGAAGATAATTTCAACAGTTTTACATATATCCATGCAATCATTGTGTTATTAATCGCTATGTGCAGTTGTGGAAGACAATTTTGATATAAAATAGCAAATTATTTATTATGGTAAAGTTTTGAAATTTGAAGGTGGTAACCTTAAGAAATTAATTTGTATCTGAAAGTCATTACATAAATATACTACAAATATAATTTTGCTCTAGTTTAAGAAAGTCCTTCAGATAAATTTTATAGAAACATACAAAATATTTGCCAAAATCTACCAGTTATGGGCTAGCTAAAGACGTTTTTAATTTGTGCATGTGTTCAAAAATACACGATTACATTGTTAGAATCTCAAATTACACCCACGACACTGTACTACGATACACTTTAGTGAAAACTGGAATGAAAAACAGTAAAAATAACAAAAATACCGAACTCAAGGGAAAATTCGAAACGGAAAGTCCTTTATGAAATGGCAAAATCAAAAGCTCAAACACATCAAACGAATGGAAAACAACTGTCATATTCCTGACTTGGTACAGGCATTTCCTAATGTAGAAAATGGTGGATTAAATCTGGTTTTATAGCTAGCTAAACCTCTCACTTGTATGACAGTCGCATAGAATTCCATTATATTGACAACAATGTGTGAGCAAAACAAACCGACATAAAAGGCAAAAACGTCAAAAATTGGGGTACAGCAATTTAGCCTTTTTGACAACGGCTATATGATGGGTATACAATCGGTGAAATAGGCTGTTACTATTTTTTTTTTCGTTATATTTTGTTCCCGTGTTTCATAACATAATCAAAGGTGGCAAAATGAAATAAAACACGGTTCTCAAAAATAACAAAGAAAAACGTCTTCGGATAATTCTGTTGGATATCTATAATTACTATTTGTAGAGTATCATAAACAATTTACTATTTATTTCATTTACCATGAACAAAGGTATTTCTGTGTCATTACTTGTGATCACTTATCGAACAGTTTCACACACACACACACACACACACATATATATATATAATTCGTCTTAATAACAGCCCAACAATTTTAGATCTGTAAATTTGCGTTAACAAATTTTGTTCTTCCTTGGCCGGAATTCGAACTCGTGCATATATATATATACAAGTCTAAATTGAAAACAATATATATATATCTTAGTTTACTTATACTGTGGATTATTTATTATTCGTGGAGCACCAATTTTCTTTGATTTCATGGGTATATGGAAACCACAAATTTAATTGCTCAACAAGTATAAATTTTCTATATGCTTGTATACAAACTTTTGTAAAACTATACGAAATCAAATATCCATGAATTTTTTAACCATATCTATGAAAATTGGTAACAACGAATATAAATGAATCCACAATATATCGAATACCGATCACAGAAATCTTATGGCCTGTTTGTACAGTTCGAAAATTAGTAGACTACTAGAGATACTTCGTCGTGTTTGTCTATATGATGTTATGATTCGTCATCTTTCAACAATTCCAACTTTTTGATACCGCCTTTTTTAAGATGAAAAAATGAAAACAACTTCTTATAAATCTCATGCATCCGAAACGCTCTTCTGGATTTACCTTCATCAGGAACGCCCAAAGCCAAGTATTTGAAAGGCAAGGACGAATAACAACCGAAACAGTTGAAGAGCTACATGACTAAATAGATCTAAAAAGTAATAGCCAATTCCATCTAAGGTCAGGTTTGCCTGAGGGAGTTGAAACCTTAGTTTCTTAATAATTTATAAATTTATAAACAGGCAATTTAAGAAAGGTATGTTATAAATCTTGCCAGTACCCAAGTACCGACTACTTAGCTGATGATACCATCGGTGACTGATAGTCCACAAGCAGCCGTATCGGTACCCAAGTACCGACTACTGAGCTGATGATACCATCGGTGACTGATAGTCCACAAGCAGCCGTATCGACCGCGTGCTGTAAAAAAAATTCTATCCACTATACAGTGACTTCCATAAATGATTAGTTACTGTCACATAACTTAATTTTTGTTTCTGGCACTAATTCGATACCTCTGCTGGTGAACTGCCATTCCCCAAGGATAACATTAGCTCAGTAGCCAGTTCTTCGTTGTCGACATGATTTATAACATGGCTTTCTTAAATTTCGCCGTTGAATTATTTAGAAACTATAAAAGAAACTAAGGTTCCAACTCCCTCAGGCAAAGTTGACCTAGGGTGTATTTGGCTATTTTAGTCTTCTTTTTGGGTCCGTTTTTGTCATATAACTACTGAGTATTCAAGTATTTAAACATCCTTGGCTTAATTGTTTTTGGGGGTGGGGTTGAGCGTTCCTAATGAAGGTAAATTCATTTCGGACGCACCAAATTTAATAAAGCGTTATTTTCATCATCTACTGTCGACACCACGTGTTGGTCGATCGTTATCAAGTGACGTTGAATTTGTCCCAAATGAGCATAAGCATATTTCCCAGTGTACTTTACGTTAACCTTTGTCTATTTTAATCCTTATGGAACATATTATCACCTTTGACCCCTGTTTAATGCGACAGGTGTGATTTACGAAGCAGGATATGCTTGAGATTACCTACATGGTTTGGTGGGAATTATTAATGCCCAAGATTTACTTGGTCGCTCTTCGTATACCTCAGTTCTTGTTTGCCCATTCCTATGTATAGTCCCTTTTGATTTGTTTCGGAAGTGTGTTGTCTACTTGATACTGGTTTCTGTATGCCGTTTTGACGTAGTTTGTTGTAGCTATATTCCATCTTTTCATGTAAGGAACACAAATCTTCTTTTGGTATAAAATATTCAATCGACATCCTAAGATTACATACTAGTATTGTCGCATACGTACACTATTCATAAAATTTACCCCAATTCAAACAAAATATAATTATTTAGTGCGATAAAAATCACAAATTTGTGATAAAACTATATACAATCATCAGTCGTGCATGTATATACATGTAAAACTTCTAATAGCGAGCAACCAGAATTGGGTAACATTGACGTAAACGGTTTCATAACACTTAAACAGGATGACAAGTCTCATTGAACTTGATTGATTTGACCTATATATTATGTGAAATTCAATTAAGCTGCAACAGTACAGAGTGCAACATATATGGGTCATTATGCGGTTTTAAACCGTCATTAAGATGCATATGTTCTTCATTCTCTGACATGCATCAAACAATTGAATTTTTGAAATGGCAAATATTGAATAGGCTTTGAACTGGAATATCAACATTATTTCTTATGGTAACTTCGAAAATTTTAAAATTAATTTTGTAAAAATATAAGAATATTATGCCTACAAAATACAATACTTACCGAACAAAATTACAAGATCTATTGCCAAATTTGAATGCTTAAAACAATAATTAAAAGGAAAACCTGAGCAAAAACATTTTTTTTTATTTAAACACCTCTAATAGATACTGGAACTCCTGGTTGTCCATTATAGACTTAAACAATAATGGTGCCTTTTATTTCTTTTCAAGAAAGTTTGATTTCAACACCACAAATATATCCAAGAATGAAAAAAGAAGATTCTTTTGGTTAACCATATATGATTTACCTAATGTTATACAATAATATATTCCATGGTTGTTTTGATTTTAAATTTCCTTTTTGTGACTATGTCAGTCTGTTAACCTTTCTTCATACATGTCGTGCCAGTCTATTGGTTTCAATAAAGCGAATTCATTATAAAAAAATATGAATAAACGACCCGTTAAAAAAATGCCAGAAAAACAGTCTACAAAAACAGATGCAAAGGATACCAAAGGGACATACCAACTTAAGTAGGAAATAGACTGACAACGCCATGGCTAAAAAAGAAAAAGACAAACAGACAAACAACAGTACATAAAACACAACATAGAAAACCAAAGACTAAGCAACACGAACCCTACCAAAAACTGGGGGTGATCTCAGGTGCTCCGGAAGGGTAAGCAGATCCTGCTCCACATGTGGCACCCGTCTTGTTGCTCATGTTAGTACAAACCTGGTGATAAGTCTAATTCGGTAAGTCACATTTGGGGGGAAAGGGAACGGGATTGTAGTTACGACAATTGGAACATGTCAAGTTCTCAATCTCCCCTGCTTCAAAATGTAGTGGCGGAACTTTACAGGTATGACCAAAAAGTTCTGTAAATGGATTTGATCATAAGGAAACCGCGACAGACAAACACTGACTTCGAGTCCTAACTTTGTACTTTAAAGGCTAAGGGGTATTATCTTATTGTGACGTCAATCCTGCCGTAACAAAATATGGATTCCCCATTGGCCTTCTGTACGATTTGGAAATCAAAATATATTTGTAAATATGAAAGGCCACTTTACGTATTTTATCAACTAATTTGCAAGTTTTATCTTGTTAAGTTGTATACATAGGTCAGGTGAACTATATTTTCTCGGGAATCTCGTGGTAGCGTGCTGGAATCGAGTGTGGAAGGTCTTATGTTGGGTCAAATGTCGAGTCAAATGACTAAATAACACTTACATTGTTGGGTAAAAACTGATTGGCTTGGAGATTAAAATGATATGCCCAGTTGAAGTGAAATAACTTTCTGTGAATAAATACTTTGTGACATCTCATATTTGAAATTTCCCTTAACTTGTCCATTCCGATTACAAAGAAGGCCCAATTCTTCCTGATAATAAAAGGTGCTTGTCCAGAAAAGTTTTGAAATGTTGCCTTTTTAACGTTTTATATCTATTGATCGATCATCCAAATAGAAAGATCAAAAGGAAAATTCTAAGCATAATTTAAAAGATACGTTCTGTCAAAATTTCAGCAATTTTATGCCCCAAGGAAAATGCGGTTTTGACTGTTATATCTATAGATCCTTTTGGCTCTAAAACTCGTCAACGTCTGATGTATGCAAACTTT